GGAAAAACGCTTCCACCCCCAAGATACACTCCCAATTTTTTTTCCGGGGGCGCGCAAAACTGGGGGGCGCCCCCAATACCAACCACACCCCCCCCCCCCCCCCCCCCCCAGTGAAACAACACAAGCGTGATTTTCAGAAAGAGTTTTTTAATGATAGAAATCAAAAGACAAAGATTAATCGATCGCGTTAGTATGTATGCAAACGGTTATTACAAGATTTCACTCAAGTTCTTAGTTCTTTAAATAGCAATAACTATTCTTCAATTATACGTTGAAGAAATATAGGATAATAAATATTTTCTCAATTTGTTATCTTTTGAATGATGCTGCTGTTATGCAAATTCAACTTTCCCGAGCTAACTCATTATCACTTTACACTATTATTCTGCCATGGTCTCTAGCATCGAGAATAAATTTGACGTTAATGAGAAGGTATTGGTTTTTTAAATATCTTTTCTGAAATATCTGTCTGTATATCGAATATGTTAATCGCGAAATTCACACAACACAAGAATAAATCGATGAGAAGCGGCAAACATGAAATGTCCACACAGACGAGATTTTTTTTACACATCAAGACAAAAGCAGTGGAAAATTTGCACATGTATAATAAATAAACTTTATAGATGTGTTAGTATGAAGATTTGTTATAGATAAGAGCAACTATAAAATTTATAATGTTTTATTTTCTCATAATTGAAATAATAAAAGCATATTTAACAACAATGATGAAAGAACCAAAAGGTAACTAAGTAGAATGTAATATATTTTCTATTAAACAAAATTAATATCATCAAATAATAAATTTTCATTCACATGTCCCCACAATGGTTGTTTGGCTTTGCTTAAATGTATTTTGTCTAATAGTAAACTATTCATTTGTGGACCAATATCACTAGCAACCTAAATAGATGAAATGTTACTTCTACAATCATTTGACATACTTTATATTATCATACTTTTGACATAGAGCGTAAATTCAACAGATCTAAACTACCACCACCATCTTTACTCATATAGACAATATTTCCATTGTCTTTGACACCATAGGTTATTCTAGATTAATAAGAACAATTCACATAGATTATTGCAAGAACTGCATAAAAGAAAGTGATTGAACAATTAAACCCCACCTAGCTAATGTTACAGAATCTTCTTTGAGTGTTGTATCAACAATATGTATACCACTGACCTGAAAAAACAAATAGACAGTCAATTTTTTCAGTATGTTTTAGGTAACATATGACATACTTGACTAACAGAAATGAAAACAGGCAAATTCGATACATTTAATAAGCCAAACTGAAATGGATCATCGCAAACATCAACGGTTACTTCACTTGTTTCTTCATCATGTGTCACTTGTAATGATGGTACTCTAAATGATATAAACAAAATTACATTTATATTTTAGTTAGAAAAAAACTTATATATTTACTTTGTTTCACTTAATGCCGCTTTCATTGCAAATGAACATGCATCATACAAGTTTCCTTCATATCGGAGTACCTGGGAATGATACAAGTTACGATAATATATTTGAACAAGATCATTTAAAGAGAAGCATATATATATACCTACGGATATATCAACATGTACAAGCCAACAATGATGGCCTTTGACAACACACAATTGTTCACGATCAAAACATTTTGGATTATTGAGTATGTAGTTGAGACTTCGTGATATTTGTTTTGTAAATAAATGACGTTGTCTACCGAATATACGTAATGAATGACAGCCACTACTGTAAAAGAATTACAGACATAATAGTCCGATATGATGACACTAAACTCTCATTTGTTCCAAGGATTTCATAGTAGCTCTCAAAAAAAAAGAAACTATATCGATAGTTATAAAAGGACTTTCCTGAATGAAAATAATCATTTTTAATTATCAGTTTACGCATAATATCAGTTAGTACTAGGATGACATCTCTGATAAATTTAGAAACAGATAATTACAAACTATTCATATATTCTATGATTCTAGACAGAGTCAGTTTCCGTGGTCTTTTAGTGTCTTTGTTTTCGTTTGAAGAACGAACGTCTCTCGTATGAATGGTGACGTTATTGCTCATTTTATTCATCTGAACGAATTTTTGGTGTACCTCACATGAAATTACGAATGATATTTCATACTAATTATAATAGTAATCAATATTAAATAATTAATATAATTATCAATATTAAAAAGTAATTTGCGATCAAAACGATAACGACTTTCTTTTTACGCATTAAAGGTACCACCCACCTCCTTTTCACCTTCTTGACAAATCGAGAGCGAAAGTTCGATTGAGTTCAAATTCATACCAGAGATAGAATATCGAAAAAGAAAATCGATGTATTTTTCCCCAGAATTTTCTGACATGTTCTTCTATGGATTTTCTGGAAAATTCTGGTTCCCCTTGGAGTGCATTAAGACCCCCTCTCCCCGGGGGCTTCATTCGATCAGATCTCAAATTTTGCCAGAGATATTTGAGACCAGGACTGAGCGAGTCCGGAGGGTATCCCTGTGGTTTATTTTTCTTATTTAGCAAGTAAAGTGCTATGGTCATCATAATATTTAGATAGAGTAGTATTCTCGATATTGTATGAGCAAGTGTTTTTCGATGTTCTATCTCTGGTATGAATTTGAACTCAATCGAACTTTCGCTCTCGATTTGTCAAGAAGGTGAAAAGGAGGTGGGTGGTATCTTTAATGCACAAAAAGAAACTCGTTATCGTTTTGATTGCAAAGTACTTTTTAATATTGATAATTAGTATGAAATATTATTCGTAATTTCATGTGAGGACGAAGAAAAGACGAGAAAACCAAAAAGGCATAGGCAAAGCTTAACAGCGAGGAGTATGCCTAGAGAAAAGCAGCATCTACAAAGTGATACTTGACGTCGAAGAGTACAGCAAATTCGTTCAGATGAATAAAATGAGCAACACGATCACTCATACGAGAGACGTTTATTCTTCAAATGGAAACAACACTAAAAAAACATCCTAAACCCGATTATACTTAGTAAACTCATTATGGTTGTTATTTGAATAAAAGCATGAATGTCAGTTTTGAATCCTTTTTTTCAGCTCTGCTGAAATAATACGCTACCACGTTTTCCTGTGTCATCTCCACTTCAAGTTTACTTATTCATATCTTCTCTCTGTGGTGTCTTTTAAATTCAGCCCATTTTCTCAGAACATATTGGAGTAAAAAGTTTTTTGAAGTCGTTTCTTTTGAACGCCGAAAATGGTGTAGTAATGACTTACCCGTCCACTGTTGCTTCAATTCGTCCTTCATTTGGACTTTCTTGACTTGTACGAGTAAATTCAAATGTAACTCCAGCCATAACAATCGTTCCACCCTAAATGAAGAACGCTTCGTCCATCAATAAAAACCTATGTCTCATAATCGTGAGAGTATATTGGTGTTTTTTCTTACCAATTTTAATAAACATGAACCGTTAGCAGTATTCACTACATCCGTTGCTAGAAGAACCGGTCTATACATGCGAGACGTTCTTCCATCAAGTCGAAAATCAGACTAAAATAGAAAAAACAACAACTATAAAATCACAAAAGGGTGACATACTAAGCATCAACATACTTGAATGCCATCAACAATAAATTTTCGTTCATCTTCACTTGCGACAGGTACACGTGGCATAATGATTTACTATCTAAACGTTTTTAGTATAAATAAGTTTTCATATCAAATGTAGTATACACAACACATGAAAAATAATCAGTTAACAATTGATAATTATCCGTCTAGTATAGTCATACAAAAAGTAATGTGATATTTTACTGTTAGAGATTAATTTATTGGAAATAGAATAATATTCATTAAAAATAAACTTCAATATTTTTCCTTGTTTTATAAACTGCACTGTCAACACAAGATCTAAATAGATAGCAATAAAGGGTCGAGTGATAGTACGTAATATTCATAAAACCTATACGAACAAAACATAAGAAGTGAATCTATACACAAAAATAAAGAAAATGGATTAATCAAAGAAGAAAGTGAAAAGACAATGGTAAATTTGTACATTTAGAAAGTCAGAATAGAGAGACAAAAGAAATTTGTATTTGCTCTAAGATCATAATATTTTTCAGTAGCAAATAGAGCATGAAGGATCCCCTTCATTGCTGACATATTTATGGGAAAAAAAGTTTTAAGAAAGAAAAATGTGAAGGACATTTTTGAAAAATATACAATAAGAATATTATAGAAAATACACCATCAGTTGAAATTTTTATTTAACTCAAGATTAGATGCTAATCTGAATCAGAGAGTATTCGATAGTTAATTTAAAACTATTGTCGGATTTTTGAAAAGTAAAAGATTTTGATCGGCTCTAAAACATAGAAAACTGCTCATAGTCTTGAGACTGATACAACACAACATTGATAGATAACCACAAGAATTAAATGTTGTAATTAATAACTATGATTATTAATTAAAATCACGATCTGGAAAGAGAGCTGGTGCTATACACGTCCAAATATAAAATAAAATACATAACCAACTTGATGTAATCTTAACCCACATTGAAGCAGCATTATTGTTAAACGTACGAAAGTCCTAAATTTCAAATATAATAAAAATTAATTGAAGAAGAAAAACTTACAGATACAACATGAATGATCAAATGATAGCACAATACACAAATACTTACGGAATTCGGTTTATACCAGCTAAAAAACAAATTTTTTTACATTTACGTTCAGAAGAGAGAGATATAATTAAATCCTACTTTGTTAATGTCATCATTGCATACAGTGTAGCAAGTGCAAACATGAAATGAAATAGAGAATAATTATATGAAACAGCAGTGGTTTCATCATCATAGACACGTTGTCCATCATTATCACCGGCTTTAATACGAACATCCGTTGTTGAATTAAGCAACTGCGAATCATCTAGAATAATTGAATCACTACTACTCGGTGATAAAAATAATTTTCGAGCACGATTATTATTTGATGTTGTCAGAATGGAATATAGTAGACATAAAAAGAACATGACAAGACCAAGAATTGTAATGGGATCGAATGCTTTTTGAACACCATCTGTTGTTGGTGATGTTTGATTATTGTGAATTATTGACCTTAATGAAGGATTACACAGATGATTTGGATTATTCGACATAGCACTCCTAAGAAATAGAAAGAGATACAAAATGTATATTTATTGTGAAAATCTTTTTAATAAGATAAATTTTCTTACCATGTATAGTATGTGACATATGCCGTAACAAACGATGATTGTAACAATCCAATACTAGCATTATATTCTCGAATGCAAGGTAAAATGGATATAATTGATATAATTACACAAAGTATCATATTAAATGAAATAAAGAATACGTGCAATTGACAAATTTTTTTATCATGAGCATAATAGATATAAAATAGAATGATACCAACAAGTGATAAACTATAGAAGAAAAATGTAAAAAATAATAGACCAATGCCATGTTTTCTTGAACCATTATCAACTTGTTCAACCCAAGCTTCATTCCATGTATGAATAAAATCAATTGATAATATCAATTGAACAATTATAAATAAGAAACCACCAATCATACCAAATATCATCCATGTTTGAGCAAAGCCTCCATTTGGTATAAAAAAGGCACTTGCTATTAAACCAACTAATAAAAGAAACTTAAATGCCCAAAAACCATTTTGTATTTTTGATCGAAAATCGCTAGATGATTTAACTTTAATCATTAGTAATGTAAATACAACAAAAAATAGAGTCATACCAAACGACAGACGATAGACAGCTAAATAACCGACCATTTTTTTACAATCGATAGGTGTCATGATTATGTTTTTGAATGATGAATTGGTGCACAGTGCAGGAATTTTAGTTAATGTTGATTCTAAACCAGGTGACAACATGATACACGACGTAATGAGGCCGAGTAATAAAAATATGCCATAGACAATACGTGTTGATGTCGAATTTTTGCATGCAGGCAATGACGAACAACACAACGAACAAGCAGCCTGACCAAAACAGCAGGCGATAGACGAACCAATTGATCCAAGACAAAGACCCATTTTGTTCAGTTGGTTAAAATTAATATCTAAATTAGTTTTAAATACCACTGTTTTATCAAAACTTCAATATAGGAATAATTAAAAACGCAAAATTTTGAAACTTTTTGAGCTTTCGAAGTATTGCACTTCATATCCAGGCAAATTCATTTGTGCAATGAGAAAAAAAACAAAAATACGAGAAGTGAAGCACAATGGATAAGTCAGCTGCAAGAGAGCAAAGTTGCAAGTTGAAAGGAACTATATGAAATCGTACAACAACCCAAATGAAAGTTCTGAGTGGAATATGAAAATTCTGTACAAAAGTATGTAGAAACGTTAAACTTGAGAACTGAAATAGAATATGCAATGAACACAACAGTGGAACAAAATACTGAAGGGAACAGCTCACTATGAAGTAAAATCTGCGATCACATGAAAATCATCGTATTTAAATTGGTAAAGTAGGCATCAATGCGACAGACATGTCAGCATCTTATGTGAACAATCATATCCATATTTTCGGATGACCTTTTTACTATATTCCTCTTCCGATAGATAACGATTTTTCATGTGTTAGGGAAAAACGAAACGGATAAAGTCAGCCAGTAGTGTGAGAATAGGCTTGTCGAGCTCAATACCAAAAAGTGTACTTGGATTGTTTTTGACAATTCTGCTTTTTGCTTGACTCCCTATATTCTCCAGCTGAATGGTAAAACTCTACAACGGATATGAGAAGTAAAATTGTTAGATGTTATACTTAACTATAATTGTAAGTGGGACAAACACATTGAAGTGGTAGAATTAAAATGTAGGAAAATGCTGTGCACAATTACTCGAACTTTCCTGGATGCACCTCAAAAAATTAGAAAATGTGTATTATTTGCGATGTGTAACGCTCTCAACTCTGAGTTGACAAAATATCTAGGCGAAGTGCCAAGAATCATCATCGTCGTCGTACATCGTCGAGTATGAAACAACATGTCGAAAATCAAGTAAAACAAGGTGAGGGTCAGGACACTGAGTCATACACTGAACGTCGGTGAGAAACAAATTAAAATACGACATTGACAAAGAGAATTGAAGCATTCGGCATTCAATGAGACCATCGAGAAAAGGAAAAAACGTGTGTGTTATAAATGAAGATTTCAACGGCGACGAAGTTATTGGTAAAAAAATCACCAATAAAGATCGGTGATGAGTGAGGCGCTATTATTTGTTTTTTTGCTCATTGTACATACGAATAAATTTGCTTGATGATGCGACGTTCAAAACAAGTTTCAAAATTTCGATATTGGAATATATATCTGAAACAATAATAAGATAGAAAAGTCAACAATATGTTTTGTTAGTTCTGAAGAAAGATTAAAAAAGTGTGTTACAGAATTATTCATGTTTTATCGCTGATTTTACAATACTTAAAGTTCTAAGAATTAAAGATCTGTCGTTCTTAACACAGCTCATAACGGTTTTTTTTCAAAATCAAAATGCTCAAACATCCTCACAACCTCAGAGTTGCTGAGGTATTTCACAGAGAGTGCCACAATATCTGAACACGTTGGAAGATGGTGAGAAAAATACATGTGTTTATTGAATAAACAGAAGCAGCAAAAAACAGCGTTCAAGCATTTAAATAAGAAAAAAAGGTGGATGAATGGAAACAAACGTCTTATTGACTATCTTAATGTCCTTAAGAGTGCCCCTTCCCCCATTTTTTTGCCTTGTTGTCAAATGCAGAGCACATGTCCGACTAAGTTCAAATTTATACCAGAGATAGAACATCGAAAAAGAAAACCGTTGCATTTTTGCCCAGAATCTTGTGACATGATCTTCTATGAGCTTTCTGGAGACCCCCATTTTCATCTGGATTTTTGAGGGCTCGTAGTGTGGATGGATGAAAACTAGGGTCTCCAGAAAACTCATAGAAGATCATGTTACAAAATTCTGGACAAAAAATGAACGATTTTCTTTTTCGATGTTCTATCTCTGATATGAATTGAGCTCAATCGGATGTGTTCTCCACATTTGGCAACAAGACGAAAAACGAGCAGTAGCCATAATACTTACCTCTTATATTGAATATTACTGTAATAAACACCGAATGCATAACTATGTATTACGAGACGTTTTGTACAATATCTTAGTACATCCTCAGTCGACTGAGGATGTACTAAGATATTGTACAAAACGTCTCGTAATACATAGTTATGCATTCGGTGTTTATTATACTACTATTCATTTCGAAATGTATTCACCGGTTAATTAAAAAGAAACCTGAATCAGTGAATATTACTGTATCAGTAATCTAGCCTTTAGTTCTATATCCGCTAATATCCACATAATCTTAACCCTATTACAAACTTCTAACCCATAATTTGAAATAAGATGTATAGTTTTTGGCTCGTTACGGACGGCAAGTAGGAGCGATATTTAATTCTAATAGTTTTCCGATCCCTGTCGGATGTTGAATAATATCGCTGTAAAATATTGTATTTTTGTTAGTGCATTTATCTGATATTCATGTAAATATCCCTTTTTTATTCCATTTTGAAAATGCCACCCACCATTTGACTTTTTCGCCATTTACCAAAATTTAGATAATCAATAAATTTCAGCCAGTGTGATCTAAATGGTCGCAAATTACAGTAGAGTGTGTATCTCTCGAATAATTAAAAAAATTGTTTTGTCGTTTTTCATTCTATTTCGGATGACGTTTTTCGATTGATTTTTTCCGCTACCGCGGACCAAAATACTGTTTTACTTATTCTTAGTACTCGATTTCTATTTGAGACCATGACATCCGAATCAAGTTAGATGTCCAGAACAGGGCATAATGTTTTTCACGTAGACAAATGTGAATGATCTGCGTATTAAATCAAATATATGTTTGTTACTCAATAATTCGCCCTCTTGCGTTGATCACATATACATGAACATGTGTATATCATTCAACGCCATTTCTCAAACAAAATTCTCTTTTAAATTTAACAACGCCCATTGAATCATAATCACACCGATAAGTCTAAACTATTTGCAAGAAGAACATGAGACCATTATTTCTAACAACTAATTTTGAATAAGAGCTGAATTACTCACCCTTCGCCTACAGGCACAGAGTGTTGAATAAATGTAATTCATGAAAGTTGAATACTCTCTAACTATTCTAGTTTTTTTATTATTTTTCTGTCAATTTTTTGTTTAATTTTCAAGAGAACAGAACACAAAAAGACACAGACTATGAGTACAAAGAACGATCTTCTTCTTGTTGCTTTTCTAACAAACAGTAACGAAAGAATTGAGATATAAGTGTACAATCCAAAAACAGGAAAAACAAATAAAAGTTACAGTAACAAAATATTTCGTCAAACATACCTTTTCACAAATTTAGTATACATGAAAAATACCGAGCAAAAAGTAATAGTTCCACTGAACATAGAAGTGAAGAATGAAAAAAAAAATCATCTATACTAGCCATAAAAATAAGTTTTTTTTTAGAGATAATCGAATAAAAAAATCCAGAGTATTTAACAAATATAGAAAAAAGAGATATGATGGTTAGGTGTTCAAAAAATATCTAATCAATTTACTAATAAAGAAAAAAATAGATGTATCTGACTTTCTGCGTTTTCAATACAACAAAATAATTATTTTTTTTGCACAAAAAAAATACTCTGTTTTCCTAAGTGAAATCTTCATAACTGTCACCAACATAAAAAAAAATAGAGGTGTAGAAAAATAAATTTTCCATGGATGAAAATAGACTAGCCTTCTATGTTTTGTGTTGGTTGATGAAAATAAAAGATAAAATAAAATGTACAACTATCTTTGTTTTATATTTTTCAAACATCATCACCGTCGCTATTAGTTTCAATTTCAATTTGCTGTTGTGTATGATCTAAACGTTGTTTTTCGCTTGATTGTGGCGGTGTTGGAAACAAATTACCAATACTTTGAAATGGTGCAAATAAACGAGTTGAATATGCTACTGTTGTTACAGGCATCGTTTGTTGAATAACATGAACATCTTCCTTAATGAGTGGAAAAACAAAACAAACGGTCTAGTTCATCTATCAATATGAAAATAAAAACTCTTACTAAAAGTTTGACAGATATATTATGTATTTGAATTGTGTATTCTTCTTCTGTTGGAATACTACTTGGTCGAGATGGTATTAATATTGGCTCATCATATAATACTTTGTAAAATGGTCTCATCCAATCCATACAGCAAGATATTTCAGCTTCAGTTAACGCTACATAGAAAACATTATTCTAAATGTGTATTATTAAGAATGGACAGTGTATGACATACATGTTACTTTTTCATATGGCCAGTCATGTTTACATGTTAATAATGCTGAACAAGCAATTATATTTTTCGGAAATTGTGAATATTCAACATCCAATGTACACAAATCTATCAACTAAAAGAGAATATTTAGTATACATCATACTAGAAAGATTAGTTTAAAAAAAAAACCTACTCTTGCAACTTGTAGAAATGTTGATTGATAATAACCTGTATGAGTGATATCAGATGTTGTATATGTTTTTAATACATTGATCTCGTCAGTGAATAATGTGGTGGACATTGCTGATGATTGCACTGATAAATGATGTGAAGAAGACAATGGTGTCGATATTGATATACGACGTTTTTTATGACATTGTTCATCATTAAAACGATGATATTTATGCTGATTTGAATATAATTCACATTCCAACTGTAAATATGTTGATAGCCAACTAATTGCTGTCATAGGTGAAATAAACCAATTTAACGCCTTAAATAAAACAGTGATGTTTATGAGAGAAAGAAAAACAACAATAATTGATACCTTCATTAAATCAATTTCAAAATCTAATATATCATCTTCACTACAAGCTTGATCTGTTACATAGGCAAAATCAGCAATTCGTGGTGGATAAATTTCCTAAAAACCAAACATCAATTTTAATAGAAAAGAAAGGAAAAAAATGCTACTATTCATCTACTTCGATTTTAGCAGCAGCAAACAATGCTGTAGTGCCAAGTAATTGTAATTTGTGTTTTGGTACATTTTTAACATTTGATAAGTATCGATCAATATAATCAATGGCAAGATGATATGTTTCACGATGGAGATGATAAACTTCCGAAACCTAAAAGAGATCATCTCATATATACAATAAATAATCTAATCGATATATTATCATAGTACCTCCATTAGCCAATCAAGTAGAACACTACGAATTTTTGCTTGTAATGCTGGATGTTGATCAAGAAATAATGGTTGACATTTGTAGACATGATTATTTGTTTTATGTATCATACTCAACCATAATAGATGAGATTTTGTCCATGTTGATGGAAGAATTTCTAATCGTGACTTTGACATTGCTTCTATAGAAAATATATATATATTAGATAAAAGTGAACCTGATGGTGTAAAAATGTCATACCTGTTATAGTCGTTGATAAAGTAATAGCAGAGGATAAATGAATTGAACTATTTTTATTTTCTTTATCACCATTTTGTTGTAGCTAAATAACAAAAGAAAACAATGAAAATAAGTTGATAATAAAGTTAAAATAATATAATAAATTTAAATTTAACTATGTATGGTTTAGTTACGAGTCTGAAATAGTGACAGGAATTAAAACTGTTTAATTTACTTTTAAAATTAAGGCTTGTCGTCGATGATCAAGTATTCGGGGTCGTCCTTGACTGAACATCATTAGTATTTGATTATATTACAAAAAAAACGAAATTAGGATAAAAAACGAGTAAAAGATGGTTTTTTGTTTAACTTTTATCCAACTTGTAGTGCTGGACAAAGCCATTGTTCATTTAATAATTTGTACCACATAAAATGTTCATTCATTTTCAATAGTTTCAATAGTTAAAGTTAAAATTTGTACGGTTTGACTTTTGACCGCGTACACATACAAATAAAAGCAAGTAATAATGTCTTAGTTTTGTGTTTCACAAAAAAAAAGAGAAGAAAATCTACTGGTAACATGCTCGCAAATAAAGGTTCTACAGAAAGGTGACAATCAAATAATAATTTACATTATATCAAGTTAATAATGTTTAAATCTTGTATTGTGTGACTCATTTGTTTTCATAGAACGGGCAATCTAAGATATTTTGGAATATATCAGTATGAACATAGAGTATTGAGACGGTTAAGATCTATTATTTCATGAATTTTATTCATTCTTTTTCCTCTGTATATGAAAATTTTCATCACACTTTCTAACTTCTAGCCAACAAATACATATATGTAGAAATAAAATTAGATAACTTTATTATTTATTCATTCAGCTAAGGATTAACAATACATAGAATTGCAAATATTATTTTAAGGATAAAATATTAATTCATATTGAAAAGATACTTTATTTATATAAAAATTTGTGCATATCAGAAATATTTAACGATTAAAAAATGTAAACAAATAATATCAAAAAATGTTCTTTCGAAGTTGTAAAGATAATGATGATGATGATGATAAGGATACTAGTATCCATACCAAAATACAGTGCAGGGTGCCACTTTTTGAATAACTTTTGATAGGAATGAGATAGAGACCTGCGATTTTCCCTGTTCAATAGCCAAGACTTGAGCAGAACTTTTCACAAGCGGAAGCAACTTTTGAAAAAATTCGAGAGACCGGGTTTCCAGAGGATCTTTGAAAAATCGGCTTCGTTCTCAGAAAACTAAAATACAATGTTAGTAACTTTTTTGCATGCGTAGATAGTCCGGACGTTACTCTACAAAATTATGCAACTCCCGGCTCTCTAGCTATCGTCGTTCGGACAGGGCTCGCTTTCCCCGAGCACGTGTTTATCTCCGAGCAGACATCTCTGGGAATCTCAAAATGCCACGGACTATAGGTAATCGACTACTCTGAGCATAGTGGCAACATTTGTTTTTGTGTAGAAATGAATATAACTTCGCCAGAGGCATTGTTGTGAAAAACCGGTTTTTCGCCTGTTACTAGCAAAAATTAAAATCCTTATATATCGATCAAATCTCATGCTGACTCAAGGAAATTTTCAGCAAACGCTCAGGACAGCTCATAAAGCATAATCGAAGACGAAAAAGGTGAATGTGAGCTGAGCACTGGCTTAAGGTTTTCTAGAAACCTTCCGAAAAACCTCAGAGCATCAGTATTCTGCTGGACCACTTTTTTGGCGTAGTCAACAACATATGACACCTTTTAAGCCTTTTCTGAAAATTTCCTTGAGTCAGCATGAGATTTGATCGATATATAAGGATTTTAATTTTTGCTAGTAACAGGCGAAAAACCGGTTTTTCACAACGATGCCTCTGGCGAAGTTATATTCATTTCTACACAAAAACAAATGTTGCCC